TCTGAGATAGTGTCCATGGGACCTGTGATAAAAATAAAAGCACGTCCCATCTCTCCTCAAGCTTGCATCAATCCATCACAATAAATAAACGTTTTCAGAACTCTAGGTGAATTAGTAATATATATATAAAACAGTAATTTTAATTTATTTGTAACAAAGTTATTTCTGATGAAAAATTGAGGACAATTTGAAATATCAAATATATATATAAATAAATAAATACTTTCATAAAATAAAACATTATAATTTTCAATTTGAAACTTTTTCTATATATACATATTAAGAAAGTATACGTGGTTTTTATATATATATATATATATATATATATATATATATATATATATATATATATATATATATATATATATATAATTTACTAAATCAAAAGCACATAGAGGTCAGTAAAACATTAAAAGATAAAATGCCGATAACTAATTTATCATCTCGCTGGACCAACCTTAATTGTTTTATGACCCTTTCGCGAAGAACTCTTCATTGCCAATTCAAGAAAGAAATTCAGATTACCAACACACAAAACAGAAAATATCTCATATCGAGAATATTTAACATTGAACATGAGGAAAAATTAATTATTTTAATAATATGTGTAAATCTCCGCTTTACCTGAAGATGGTCGCGAGACCAGAAACACGTGTCGTAAAATTATGTAAAACAAAGCATAATATTTTTTTAAAATAAATCCACATCACAAACCAAAAAACGTTTGCGGCACCTCTCTTCTTTATTTTTTAATATATATATATATATATATATATATATATATATATATATATATATATATATATATATTCCCATGTTTTTAAATTTGAATTTTTTAATATAACTATAACAACAAAAACATTTCATTTCATTTCATTTTTGCTTTTAAAATGTCGGACGAAACGCGTCGGCAAAAATCAAAGATTTTTCCCAATTGTCATTTTATAGCGATTTTCCAAGCGTAGCTTAGATGTAGCAAAAGGCTGAAAGTAGGATCGAACTCACTACTCAAGCGAGACAAGCTTGCTAGACATTTGCACCACCCCGAGGTGTCCTAATTTTATATATATATATATATATATATATATATATATATATATATATATATATATATATATATATATATATATATATATATATATATATATATATATATATATATACTGATATATACTGTAAATAATCATGTAAGCACGATGGATAATCTACATTCATCATATTCTAAATAATCATGTAGGCGCGTTGGAGTCATAGATAGCGGTTCAGATTGAGGAATCGGAGAGCTGAGTTCGAATTCCAGCCGAATCCGTTACATTCACTTACGTGCTAATATCCTTGGGAAGTGTATGAATCCTCTTCATCTCCCCGCCCAGCTATGGGTTAAATAGCAGGACAGTGTTCTATAGCCTTGGATGGCAACTGGTCTACCACAAAAAAAATGGCAACCTCGTCAGTTAGGTATCGAAAGATACATGATCGCCTAAGCATGTATCACGCATGGCACATAACTGATTAACTCAAGGACAAAGAGACAAATAAAGGTCCCAGTTCGAGATTATCCGATAGTTACCCGACAGAAGAAGTTAGAGAACAAAATTAATAATGATAGTTTTCCGATTGTAAATAATGCATTCTAAAGAATGGAACGTAATAGTGCTCAACATTTATGTAATTCTAAATTCCCCCAAATGGAAGTAAATGGTTGACAATTTTTTCACAGATGAAGTCAAGTTAAACAGAAGGACGCTGAGAATGAAATGGATGCAACTTGTGAGTAATGATATAGTTTTAAGAAAAAACTGCAGTGAAAAGGTAATTATAAATCTATAATAGGTGTACAATCAATTTCATAATTACTGCCCTTTATTAGAGTTGCCAGGCTTTATTTGCACCCTTAATAATGTATTCTGGTTGCTGCGCTTAACGAAAATGCTTAGAAAACGGAAATGCTTACAATCAAAAAGAAAGATTTCTGGAACGTATAATGATAAAAGTTTGACAGTCAAATATTAAAAGGCTAGCCTACCTAATAAGCAGTAAATGTCCTGACGTGACACGACATACAAAAGATCTGTCTCCGAGATTATAATTATTTACATTATTCGGACTATTATCTTCACCGCCATATTCACTAATTTTCGGCTGTTGTACGCTCCGGCCTTCCTGATTAGAATTTCGAACCTTTCATTTCGTCCACCGGGGTAGATTGTTCTAGTTCTTCCCTTTAACTCAACTCTCCAAGTTTTTGGTTCTGTGGCCTGGTATTGAACTCACAACTCTTTAGGTCTAATCACTGGATCAAACCAACATCTTTATCCACTGGGCCATATGTCCTTGAGGACATCTCTGTATGAATTTCTGGGACTTATATACCTAATATCTCAGTACAATTTTTTTATTGCAATTTTTTTATTATTTATTACCAGAGCTTATATTGCAATTTTTTAGACATCCGGAAGAGGCATGGGACGTAGAACTAGAACAGGTAGATAACCCGGTGGACGAAATAAAGGGTTCGGTTCGAATTTCGGATCACCTGAAGAAGGCCGGAGCATACAACGGCCGAAACGTCATGAGTATGGCAATAAACTACACCCGGCAGCAAGACCTCTGATCGAGAAATTGGAGTTTTTGAGGAACGTGGAACCAAACTGTTATACCCAGATCCGTCCTGGGCAAATAATGTTTTGATTTTTGTTTGATGTTTCACTAAGAATGTAGGAAAATGCATTATGCTAAAAATACCAGCAGCATGTTTATAAAATTGGCCAGCTGTAATATATTTTATAGCAAAATAGCTACTTCTAATAATTTTTATAGCAAAATGACAGTCCATACAACATTAAAGTATCAAAAATACATTTTCATAGTAAAATTATCAGCAATAGATTTCATCTAAAAAGATATATTTAAAAAAAAAACATATATCTGCCTTAAAAGCATACAATTATGTATAAAATAGCTGTAGTTGAATCCATAAACTTGAATACAAAATGTTTAGATTTCGCCATTGAATAACTTAGAGAGATGTTGATATGCCGCTAAACAAAAACAATCACAAAAGAGAAAAGATTTCATTTTGATTTCTCTGTTTAACGGCATATCAAAACCTTATGGGTCATTTTATGCCGAAATTTAATTTTCTTGGGAACTTAGATGTAATGAAAATGTTATTCGGCTTTCACAATTGAATACATGGTAGACGTTAGTCAGATTTTGTTTATATACATGTTTGTGTGAACATGATTACTACAGGCAGTGATGTGTCCTTTATGTTGCAGTTTTATTGAAGTTATATTTTGGAATACCGTTTAATTTAAGAAATTAGGGGATATTATATCGATTAATGGCATGAAAGATCTTTCATGTTGATTGCTTAGGAGCATTTTAAATGGATTTGTGTGAAGTCGCTATTTGTTAGTATGTGCATATTGTTGATAATTTTACTGTAAATATGAATTGTTGGTAAATTTTATATAAAAATGTATTTCTTGTAGCTTTACTATAAAAAATGCATTTTTACATTTTCATAGTGTTTTATTTTGGGGTTTGATTATTTGCCCATAGTTGGGAGCCTAGCAAGTGCTACTTGGGGCCTTCCTGGGTCTGAAGATAAACTCCATCAGCGTTTTGGGTAAGACGATAAATTACATCCAACAGCAAGGCCTCTGATCAGGAGGTTTTGAGGAACGTGGAACCACCTCTTAATTGCTGGTGTTCCAAGGCCTACCCTGATCCAGGGTGGTAGCACCTGTCAGGGTCCCCACTAAGGGCAAATAATTAACCCCCAAACTAGGGGCAAAAAACTATGGAAATGTAAAAGTAGGTTTTAATATCAGAAATACTGTGTAAATATTTATTACCAGCAGTTAATTTTTGAAGATTATTACCGTCAATACGTTATTAGCAGGAATACATTTTTTTTTTAATTTACTAGCTATAGTATTTTGGAAAATATATTACCAGAAATAAATTTTGAAGAGAAAAATATTACCAGAAATAAATTTTGAAGAGAAAAATATTACTAGAAATAGGTTTTTGAAGAGAAAAATATTACAGTAATAAATTTTTGAAGAGAAAAATATTACCAGACATAGATTTTTAAAGGAAAAATATTACCAGAAATAGATTTCTGAAGAGAAAAATATTACCAGAAACTGATTTTTGAAGAGAAAATTAATACCAGAAATAGATTTTTGAAGAGAAAAATATTGCCAGAAATAGATTTTTTATAGAGAAAAATATTACCAGTAATAGATTTTTGAAGAGAACAATATCACCAGAAATAGATTTTTGAAGTGAAAAATATTACCAGAAATAGATTTTAACGGAAAAATATTACCAGAAACAGATTTTTAAAGGAAAAAATATTACCAGACATAGATTTTTGAAAGGAAAGAATTTTACCAGGAACAGATTTTTGAAGAGAAAAATATTACCAGTGATAGATTTTTGAAGAGAAAAATATTACCAGAAATAGATTTTTGAAGAGAAAAATATTACCAGAAACAGATTTTTGAAGAGAAAATATTACCAGAAATAGATTTTCGAAGGAAAAATAATATAGGCTGTAGACTTTTGCAGAAAATATACCAGCAATAAATATCTTAAGTAATCTACTGAGGTTGATAAGCCGTAAAACAAATCAAACCAAAACTACCTGGGAACAACAGCTATTACAAGTGGATTCCACATTCCTCAAATACTCCAATCTCCCGATCAGAGGCCTAGCTGCTGAATGTAATTTATCGTTATATCCAGGACTACAAAAGAAATGTTAAAAGTTTTATTAATTAAACCAATAAATGCAATTTTACTCTTTTTCAGCTTCTTTGCATTTTATTAATTATTTCTGTTTCAAAATGATTCATTGAACAACGCGTAACAGAGACCAAATTTACGCTAGACTGTTTCCGCTAGGTCCATTCGCCATTTTGAGCAGGTCTGTTCTGTGGATCCGAAATGATTCTCATTTCTTTTCAGTAACGGTCCATTGAAATATGGCTCAGAGAAATGTCTTTCTTTATTCGCGACAAGGAACAATATTTACGCTTTTCCTTAGTCTGGTGAACAATTAAAGAGATCAAACAGAATATTCAGTTTTATCTGCTAAACCGAATCAACAGTTTGCGCCCGAAATTATATACGTCCGAATATATTAGCCGGACATAAATCGAATTGGATAAATAAGTAATTCGATTTTCTGCTGCTTACATGGATCTTAGAAACACATTACCATTTGAAATATAAAACGTTATTCATAAGAAGAGTTCGTCTATCTATCTATCTATCTATCTATCTCAGTATTTTTATCTATCTATCTATCTATCTATCTATCTGCCTGCTTATCTATCTATCTCAGTATTTCAATCTATCTATCTATCTATCTATCTATCTATCCATCTTATCAATCTATCCATCATCTATCTATCTATCTATCTATCTATCCTATCTATCTATCTCAGTATTTCAATATATCTATCTATCTATCTATCTCATTTCTCTATCTATCTATCTATCTCAGCATTTTTATCTATCCATCCATCTATCTATCCATCTATCTATCTATCTGCCTGCTTATCTATCTCCATCTATCTATCCATCTATCTATCTATCTATCTATCTATCCTCAGTATTTCATCTATCTATCTATCTATCTATCTATCTCAGTATTTCTATCTATCTATCTATATCTATCTATCTTTCTATCTATCTATCTATCTATCTATCTATCTCAGTATTTCTTTCTATCTTTCTCAGTATTTCTTTCTATCTATCTATCTCAGTATTTCTATCTATCTATCTATCTATCTATCTATCTATCTATCTCAGTATTTCAATCTATCTCCCGTATTTCTATCTATCTATCTCATCCATCTGTCAGTATTTCTTTTTTTTATTTATCTATTTATCCCAGTATTTCAATCTATCTATCTATCTATCTATCTATCTATCTATCTATCTATCTATCTATCTATCTGTCTCATTATTTCTCTCTATCTCGCTCGCTGTCTATCTATAACAGATATATGTCTGTTCTTTATTGTGACTAAGCCCCGTGTCTTGACCGCCTGTTGGGATAACCTCAACACAGACCTTAAGCACAACTCGTACATACGATGCATCGGTAAAGATGCTGGAAATATGGTCGGTTTCCCGGTATCGCTTCATTAAGTACCTGACTCCCGCTATTTACTTTTTCAAGAACCAGATGAGCCCGAAAATGAACTACTCTATTAACCGGGTATTGAACTCACACTCTTTGGGTCCTGTGTTATGGGGACCTACATTCATGGACAAAATAGACTCGACTTATGACTATATTATGCCTCGCAAGAGGACTGTAGACAGAAGACGAGTTGACTACGGTTGACTTCGTTTACGACTTCTGTCGAACTCTCTGCTTTGCCAGAGAGGAACCCGGACGAAGCTTTGCCGAAAGGCAAGGTTTCGTCCCGGGAGATAGACAGGCCCTGAACTCGTCTAGGCGGGTTCAAAGGGTATATATTTGGCATTTACATCTCGGAGAAACCCACATTAAACCCAGCCTTCATCCATCATTCCTCGTGGGGATCGTTAAATATTGAAGACGATTTGACTATGGTCGACTACGTGTACGACTTCTGTCGAACTCTGCTTTGGCATTTGCTGAAGAGCAAAGTTTCGTCCGGGGACGTAAACAGGCCCTGAACCCGTCTATTCAATCTATCCGAGCCTACGGGCTCGGAGAAATCCATTTAAACCCGGCCTTGTGCTGCATTTCTCGTGGGAGGATCATTAAATATTATGAACGAGTTGACTATTCTACTTAGCCGTTAGTCGGATGTACAACACTTTTGTATTCGTTCTTTTGGTTAATAATACGTTTTCATTAAATTGCTGAGTTCGATTTTTTTTTCGGACCTATTCTTGGTCCCCAACATCCTGTCACTGGATCTAACATACGCCTTTATACGCTGTGCCATGTTTCCTTGAGTTGAGTTCAGTACCCGGTTAAGGCGGTGGAGAACTTGCAGAAGGAAATTAACAGGAGATAACTGATAACTGGCATCCATTAGACATGGCACGTGGAACTAGAACATTCTACTCCAATGTGCTAAATAAATATAACGGCCGAAACTTTGTAATAAATATGGCGACAAAGATGAGGACAATAGTCCGAATAATGTAAATTGTGTGCCTTAATACATGTACGGAGTAGAATAACTGAAATAAATGTCAGAGAAAGACATATTTTATATCGATAACGATGAAGAAGAGACTCTATGCGACGGACATGTGGTTCTACAGAAAGATGTTGAGGATTTCGTGGACCGAGCGTGTGAGCAACGATGAAGTCATGGAGAGGATGCAGACGAGGAGGAGGATCATGTTTAACATCAGAAAGAGGCAGCTGAAGTGTCTTGGACACATAATGAGCAACGAAGTCCTGAATAATCTGATACTCACGGGTCGAATAGAGGAAAAGAAGGGCAAGAGAAAAGCAGCGCGTGACATTCCTGGCGAGCTTGAGCAGGTGGATGACAGAACGTGGTCTGGGTGAGATAGCAGAACGGAGGAACGTGTTGAGTGCTGGAAGGTATAGAGGGAGGTGGAGAGCCATAATCGCCTACGTCCTGAAAGGACAAGACACATAAAATATATATATAGATATAGATACTTATCACAATTTTCCATTACAGAGAGGCCATGACATATGTATACAGCGTATACCAGCGTAAAATGGGACGACAAGAGAGAAGGTCTTGTAATATTTCCCAATGGGAAAATCAGTCAGGCCGGTGGTGTCTTCGATGTACTGCTTGAGACCATTTGGTTTTTCCCAGTATGTCCTATCACAGTTAGTTTGTCACGTTTGTCTTCACTGTAGCTTAGGTAGCAAGTCGTGCGGACAGGCACGTCTTGACTCGAGGAGTGCTAGCTGACTTTCTTCACTCTGTGAACTGAGGTCACTCACCGGCTGTGATGTGACCCTCGTGACGTCGTCTCAACCAAAAAGAGATAATTACTCTTTGCATGAGCAGAAACATAGACTCTAAGTCTTACTCTGTAACCTTTGTAAAAAAATAAAAACATAAAGTAGTAAGTAGCTGTTATGAGAACTTACCCATAATAAAAATGGACTATTCCTGACATTATAAATACTGCGCCTCTCAAGAGGTACGAGGAGATTGTAAGACGAGGAGAGATAATTGAGAGCATATTGTAAGGACATTGGAATAGTGATACTTGTCGAGACAACATAGTTCACTCTAACCAAATCTGATAGTCACTACTAATACTTCTACTTCTTTGTATTATATTTCGGTTGTAATATATCTTTGTATTCCATATATGTGTTTGTGTTATTCTTTCATTGGTTCTAACCTTGGACCATCACCATGGTACAAGGAACTTGGACTATAACAGTAGCAAAGGCTATTAATGCTGCTGCTTTAAGTCAGCATTTTATTTGTTTGTTTTATCACTAATTTCCTCCGTGTACGGTGAAAAAAAGCCATTAATCATTTCCTCTGTTATTACGAGTTATAAGATTTCATTTTTACTAATTAGTTTTAGTAGTAAAATCATAGTACCGAAAATGCTTCATGTCATTCGCAGACAGTACTGTTTCGCTGTATTACAGCTCCTCAGTACGACTAGACATCCGAATACTTCAAGCCCGGATCGAAACCCAATCGATCAGTCAGAGATTCTACCACTGAGCTATCTCCATTCGACAGAGAGAAACAACTAAATCTAGCGTATTGTTTATACGAATGTAAAAAAATACCAATCAGCCGGAGTGCTCCAATTCATTTTACTGAAGAGCTTTGCTTTAACGTAGGTGGCTGTTGTTTATAGAATTAGCTAATCACTCAACAGTGCTTAATTGAAATATATTTTCATATTTTGTCGGCACCACAATATTTAAAAAAAAACAACTGGAAGAAGTAACTTGATCTTCCAGAATCAGAGACTTAAAACTGAGTCAGCATATAAAAAGGCCTCAAAAACTAACAAAGACAAAAATCTAGGGAAAGATGACAAGGATCAAAGTGTAGTATCTGGTCCAGCAACAGATAGTCGGCCCAAGGCTCCAGCCAGCCAGCCAGCCAGCCAACCAGCCTCGCCAACAGCGATATTTACGAAACTGTCCATTTCAGGACAACGCATTTCAACGATTACCAAACTAACTTTATCAGCACAATATTCTTCAACGAGCTTATCACCTTCTACATGAACAGGCAGAGATAGTTTTCTGGCTAGTGCACTGTAAACTTTTTTCGATGTATTTTCTTTAAACTTCGCTCTTCAGCGACAACGAAGCTATCCTTTCCAGGACAACGCTCTCTAGAGACAACAAAGCTATCTTTTCCAGGATAACGCTCTTCAACGACAACGAAGCTATCCTTTCCAAGACAACATTCTTCAACGACTATGAAGCTATCCTTTCCAGGACAACGCTCTCTAGAGACGACAAAGCTATCCTTTCCAGGATAACGCTCTTCAACGACAACGAAGCTATCCTTTCCAAGACAACACTCTTCAACGACAATGAAGCTATCCTTTCCAAGACAACACTCTTCAACGACAATGAAGCTATCCTTTCCAAGACAACACTCTTCAACGACAATGAAGCTATCCTTTCCAGGACAACGCTCTTCAACGACAACGAAGCTATCCTTTCCAAGACAACACTCTTCAACGACAACGAAGCTATCCTTTCCAAGACAACACTCTTCAACGACAATGAAGCTATCCTTTCCAGGACAACGCTCTCTAGAGACAACAAAGCTATCCTTTCCAGGATAACGCTCTTCAACGCAATTCCTTTCAACGACAACACTCTTCAACGACAATGAAGCTATCCTTTCCAAGACAACACTCTTCAACGACAACAAAGATCCTTTCCAAGACAACACTCTTCAACGACAATGAAGCTACCCTTTCCAAGACAACACTCTTCAACGACAATGAAGCTATCCTTTCCAAGACAACACTCTTCAACGACAACAAAGCTATCCTTTCCAGGACAACACTCTTCAACGACAATGAAGCTATCCTTTCCAGGACAACACTCTTCAACGACAACAATAAGACAACACTCTTCAACGACAATGAAGCTATCCTTTCAAGACAACACTCTTCAACGACAATGAAGCTATCCTTTCCAAGACAACACTCTTCAACGACAATGAAGCTCCTTTCATCCTTTCAAGACAACAAACAACAATGAAGCTATCCTTTCAACACTCTTCAACGACAATGAAGAACAACAACGACAATGATCCTTTCCAAGACAACACTCTTCAACGACAATGAAGCTATCCTTTCCAGGACAACACTCTTCAACGACAATGAAGCTATCCTTTCCAGGACAACACTCTTCAACGACAATGAAGCTATCCTTTCCAAGACAACACTCTTCAACGACAATGAAGCTATCCTTTCCAAGACAACACTCTTCAACGACAATGAAGCTATCCTTTCCAGGACAACACTCTTCAACGACAATGAAGCTATCCTTTCCAGGACAACGCTCTTTAGCGACAACAAAGCTATCCTTTCCAGGACAACACTCTTCAACGACAATGAAGCTATCCTTTCCAGGACAACACTCTTCAACGACAACAAAGCTATCCTTTCCAGGACAACACTCTTCAACGACAATGAAGCTATCCTTTCCAAGACAACACTCTTCAACGACAATGAAGCTATCCTTTCCAAGACAACACTCTTCAACGACAATGAACGACAAAAGCTATCCTTTCCAGGACAACACTCTTCAACGACAATGAAGGACTATCCTTTCCAAGACAACACTCTTCAACGACAATGAAAGCTATCCTTTCAAGACAACACTCTTCAACGACAACGAAGCTATCCCTTTCCAAGACAACACTCTTCAACGACAATGAAGCTATCTTTCCAGGACAACGCTCTTCAACGACAACAAAGCTATCCTTTCCAGGACAACGCTCTTCAACGACAACGAAGCTATCCTTTCCAGGACAACACTCTTCAACGACAATGAAGCTATCCTTTCCA